GGATGTAATTCATCGATTCGCTCATGATGAATTCTCAAGTTACGAATTGGAACATCTTGACTTCCAGCACTAACATGAACATATTCGATTCGTGATAAGTCCAACTCAGATTTGTCGAACTTATAAGCAATCTTCTCATGATTGTATATTCCATTTGCACCAGCATGAAACAAACGTGCTTCATTTGTCTTATAATCGATTTCCAGACAAAATGTGAGGAAGTCATCCGTATTACAACCTCGATAGAAGACATGTGACTTGGCTCGGAATTTCGCTGTCGAAACATTGGTCGAATGTTCAAATGGATGACCATCATTGAGATACGAATAGTTCTCATGATAGTCTGATGTTGCTGTCGATGGCTTTTCAGCCACATAGCAAACAAGACATCGCAGATGAGGCTGATCTTCAGTCGACTGTATCTTTTCATTGGCAATGGTCAGCATCATATCACCATGCATGGCTTGCCAATAGATGAGAGTATAGCGTGGTCTTTCTGGTGCTTTGTCATTATCGAGTCGATAGAGATCGTATGATTGTTTGATCGTCATGGGAAGAACAATGTGTCCATCATAGTTTGAACCTGAAGCTGTGACAACAATACCTCGTGAAATATGTGGTGTATTCATTCTTTCTTGAATTTTGTCATCGATTTCGCCAAGTATAAATTTGAGATAAGTTTTACGTGTATCATCTAATGGAATATGAATATTTGGCTTGATTAAACTGACATCGACTGATTGTGGATATATGATGAGTGAGCTTTTGAATATTTCTCTTGCTGAGCTTTGTGCTGTAGGAGTGAGTGAATCAAAAATATTCTTTGGTATGTAAACAAACTCAATATAATCTAAAGGGATAAGTTGTGGCAAATGACATTCAAATACATCGTGTGAATTCACATGTTTCCATCGATTTAAAACATCTTTGATGTCAACATCCATGGATTTTGTGTTGAAACCAGTAAGAGCAGCTAGTTCGGTGGCAGCTGCATATTCATAACGGGGAACAGAACAGTGTAGTTTCGAATGATGAAAATCTACCACACGATTATCAATATCACCGGAATCTGTTACCCACAATCGCTTTTTGTAAGTTCTTCCACTATGAAAACTAGTACCGGCTTGCATCGAAAAATTAGTATCAGGATGAAACATGATCTCTTGTTTGAATAAGATCACAATGTCACCGTATTGATGATCAGAATGTGGTCCTAAAATGCTGAATACATGTTGATTGGTTCCCATTTTCTTATCAACCGCATATCCCATTCCCATTGGTGCTCCATGTAGTGCAACCGATGCTTGTGCAATGTTGGTGGTAGATTCATGAATCACTTTCATATCTTTGTCGCTTAATAATACTTTTAGCTTCTTTTCTGCTATCTTCATTTGCTCTTCATCCTCAGCATCTAAACCAACTATACCATCAGCTCCTGTTTTCGAAAACTCAGCTTTGACTAATGTTTTTATCAGTTTGAATGCACCTTCTTTCATCGCCGGACTATTGTGCTTAAGAATGATAGAACGTACGTCGTTGTGTTGTAACACAGCCTTCGCTACAGCTGACGGGCTATTTAGTTTCTCCATATACTTTCGACTCATGACATGACCATGTACAAGAATCGATTCGAATATCTCTTTTTGGCATCGATGTACTGGCTGAAGTGCTCGTATCCAGTTCCGTAGTTCACTTCGAACCTTTTTATTTGTCCATCCTTCTGTTTCGATATAATTGTTCACATTTCTGATCAGATGTCGTTGATTTCGGGCAAAGTCAATATCTGCATTGTAATTGCTGCACGGTGCCACCGTCAGATGATCATAGTTTTGACCATGTCGATAAGTAGTCGAATGCTTTTTATCTGATCTCGAATGACACTTATAGCCAGGATGTTGACATAGGAGACGAATATCACGAATACCCGGATGAGCAAATGACTCTAGATGGTCTTCGTTAGTTATATTTGGACATTGATCACCTTGTGGACACAGTTGTCGAGCGATGTGAATAGTAGTTTCGTAGTGTTTGTCTTCATCTGTTTTGCATTGGCGGCCATAGGGACAGAGATGTGTCAACTGGAGACAATGCTGTTCTGCTTCCGATGAACATTTTTTCATTTTGCCAGACTGGAAGAATTCGACAAATAGAGCACAGCTGTAGGGTGTGAATGGACATGGTTCACGAAATGAGTGAATTGTTTTTCTCATATGTGATTCATCGTGAATTTGACTGCAACAGTTATCTTCGGGGCAAGCTAATCTGACATGTCGAAATGCTTTGATATGATTGTCGTCACGGCTTAAGCGCAGGTGACAGTCGATTCCATCTCGACATGCAGGTAGATGTCGATAATCAAATAGATGTTGAGGGTCGGTCCTATAACAATAGAATTGATCTTTGCAAAAGTCTGGATGATCGAAATCGTTCAAATGTGCTGCATCTGTGCTGGTACATTCGCCACCTTTCTCACAATTTTTTGTATGCATAAAGGTAGCCACATGTACATCGTCATCCATGTGTTCACACTCTGAGTTCGCTTTCTGTAATGGACATCTTGGTGGATGTGAAAACTGTTGACTGTGATCTTTATTTCTTCTATCACGACAGTTGTTGCCATGTTGACAAGGAGCTGCTGTCTGTGAAATGAAGACATCATCCAGTGTCAATTGACCATCGGCTGTTTTGTCAAGAACACGATATGGTCCACTCACTCCATCCACTCGTAACGTTTTCGGTGGTTCCACTTCAAAGCCGTCTAGTATAGTTTTGAATGGTCCATAGTTTCCTTTGGGATTCACCACACCTTTTGCATTGTGATCATTGATGATGGCAAAATAAATCGTGTCGAAATAGCCAGCATATTGTAAAATAACTGATTTGAATAGCAGAGCAACATGTTCGGGTGGATTTCGAAAAGCACCACAACCTAATGCAGACAACACTAGACAATCATGCTTTTGATGATGTGCGATGGCGAAGATGTTCTCAATTTTTCGACGAGTGTTCATGGCGGATTTGTTTTGCAGCTTGTTGCCAGGAGTGAGAGGAGGATCTCGATAAGCTGCCATAGCAATAGCACACACATTGTAGAGAGGTTGTTTCTTGTAAGGATAGCCATCTTGTTCAGTTCCGCGAAACACAGTGATGCCTGCTGTGTAGATGCCTCCAAACTCTTCCATCGGATAGAAGTCACCGAATCCTTTCAACTGTTTAAGTTCACCCTTTGGTGTGTAGTAGAGTCGCTCTGATCGAGTTCGATCAGCTAATTCTCCATCGAGACTGTGATAGTAGTCAGAACGGCGAAAAATATTTTCTTCTTGTGCACCATCACCTTTTCGATAGCCACCACCTGGACTAGTTGCATTAGCCATGTTGAGCAGCAATGGTCGACGCCCTTTTGCCACCAGTTGTTCATAGAGAACAAGACAATCTTCTTCGACGACTTGAACAGTTGTTTTTGGATATGGTGTTTGGAAATCTGTTTGTGACAGTGTTTTTCTTGTGAATAGTTTGGACTGGTGATTGTAGCCAATGGTTTGTATTCGTTCAAGTTTTAGTTTGACCAGAGTATCATCGACAATATACTGTTTCTTCCTTAACGTGCCTATAGTGTTGAGCATAACAGTCACGCGTAATAGATGTCTTGTAAGATCATAGCCTTTGACAGGAATAGCCGCTGCTTTGTTCATTTGCTCTAGGAAGTTCTGAGCCTTCCACTTGAACCGAAATATAGGATGTTGATGATCATTGATGATTGTGGTGATATCAGGTTTGATATCCAACATATCTGTATCATACCAGTTCAAAGCATCGAGTTCACATGAATCCGGATCGGTGACTCGAGTGTGTGGCTTAATGGCCAAGGCTTTACCATCTATTCCGAAGCCTCCAATGTCCAAACATTCATGAAAATGATTTATATCGTTCAATTCAATGATGAGTTTGTCATTAACACGTTTATGTGATGCAACTCGGTTGTAAAATAGTTTGTTTCGAAGTATTTTCTCAACTTCGACATCATTGTGAACGGGTGAAATGAGTACTCGGTAGGAAAGTTTATGTCTTTTGGATATGGAATGTTCATCGATTTTTAGTGTAGCCTCTTTTGTCCATTTCCTGAGAGACTTGGATGCTATCACAATCGCATTACCAGTTTGTTTATTGTACTGTGTATAGAGTGAGGTTGTGTGTAGTGAAGGTTCACCAAGTTGAACAGCAATAGCTGACATGAGTTTTTCGTTATTAGTGCTTGTTGGTAGGTCTTCGAAAAAACAACAGTCAGCACGTGGATAAACAGTAGCAAACGCAGCCTCGATTTTGAAGTCAGGTGTAGTGGCTGCCTGAATTAGTTCAGCAAGCTTTTTGTAATAGATTCGAAAGACATTGGGGAACTGATCGGAGACGATTTCGCAACGACGTGTCTTTGATGTTTTATATGCGTTTGCATACCGTTGGGCAACTTCATCAGCCGAAAGAGCCTTCTTGAGTTCTGAACCAATTACGATGTAAGAGTCAAGTTCGAGTTCTTTGACAAATGATATATTAGTGCCACTATTCTTGGAAAGGACAGTTGTCTCAACCTCGGAAATCAGGTGATGTTTGTCATCTTCATTTAGCATATTGATGACAGCGACACCCAGTGTGGAATAACATTGGACACTTTGTACATCTAGTCGATGGCCTGTCTTCAAACGAATCTTGATTTGTTCTTCGAGTTCTTCGTCATCGACGTCCACAGGAATATCAGGTACGTAAACTATTAAATCAGCCATTGTTATATGTTTTGTTCGTGTTTGATATCTACCACACAAACTAAATACGCAATACTGATAATTATATAAATCTTTCGAAAGTTATGGTTTATAGGGATCCGACTATTAGTAAAATCTGTCTACTGCGCACGGATCGATTCCAATAGCAAGATTAGGCTACTAATTATCATGAGACTTGCAGTTTGTGGAGATACTGCGGCTACTTCCTATCTACATTAATCACTAATATACAGTTATACATACCCTTTATGTGAACGCAACTAACGCCTAAACTTTAAAAAAAAAACTTTTAACATACGCGTGTGTATTCGAGTGTCCTTTATAAAAGACAAGTTGGAAACCTTCACAAAAATATTTCTTTCGTAGCGTGAACAAGGTTCTATAGGATGTATGTGAATCATGAGAGAATATAGAGAATGTGACAAGTCCAAATTTATGACAAGTTAAGAGTTAATCACTCTATAATATATCATGCGCCCTTGAAAATACCATAAATAAAAACTGTCAAGTTGAAAATGCAGAACATATAGGTAAAGACAGACACAGTACTGCTAACCGATATGCAATAATTTTTCATGCACAATAAAAGTTCCTGTAGTGAAGATTGATTTATGCATTTGCTACTGATTTTACACATTTATTTTAAAGGCAAAGCAAATACAAAGATGCACAGCGCGATTTTGTCTAAATGCTGTTTTGTCCTTATTTCCTTTCCCGACAACTTCTTTTTCTAGTTATAAAAACACTGTGAGTAAATATGGCCTGACTCACAGAATAAATGCTCTCATTCGTATACTCTTCAATAAAACTTCTACACAGTCGTCTAATTCTATGGTAAAAAAGCAGCCAATCCTCGGCGACGAAAATTCCAACGTTAATCTGATTTTTGTCGTCCGATACTGCCTGAGTCATTGCCAATAATCTGACTGTAACAGAAAATTAAGCAAATAAAGTCTTTTTTCTTTCTACAAAATCTACATCGATAGAGATACAAGACCATTTTCATGAAGACATTCAGTTTAGTGATGATTAATAAATGGATCGATTATACTAATCCATCAGATTTACATTGATCATGGTTGTCTAGAGAAAGAGTAGACAGGTATAAAATAAAAATTTGCGTTTGAAGGCGTGAAAAATTTTCTTACTGGAATCGATAGAGTACATTAAGTTCTACTTGGAACCAGTGAGATAAGGGTCGGAATGCATATCTGAACGAATAAGTCTTTAAAAACTCGAATCAGTCGATAAGATATCTTACGCATTTCCAATCCGTTTGATGTATCTATTCTCACATGTCTCACTGGCTCTTGTTTCATAAGCATATTTTTATTTCTATTTTTGCATTATTCAAAATTTTGATGAGATGTTTTGTAAGGAAATGTGTTAAGAAGTAACGAACGGCATGCAAAATTATTTTTGTAAAACCTTTCAGAAATTCGATTGATTTATTGAATCATTGTGACAGTGGTTTTGACTATTTGTAACTAATACTATTAGGTCGCAGGATATTGTTGAGCTTCGAACGGGACTTGGGTACATTCAGATAATATAAAAGAATACGGTTGCTAGAGCTGATTATGATGGGTCAGTATGAGACTTCTGAAAAATAGATTTTCAAGGATTATCTCAATCGACTGGCAGGAAGCTCTTGAAATTTGACATAGGGAGAGAAGAATTGCGGCATGGATTTTACAATTTTGCTTATTCAAGTATAGGACAGCGATTTTGTTAGTGACTTTTGTTTAAAAAGAAGAGTAGTTAATTTATTCGTCACGTGTGACATAAGAGCGGTCAGAAATAAAGAAAGAAAACTGCAACTGGACAATGTACTTTCCGATCGAATAGTTAATTCAAAATCAAATAAACTCATGCAGCTATTGAAGCAAAGTGATAATTATTAGCCGCTCTCTTTGAAATAGTGACCTTCGTTTATTTCTCCTTTCGGAGATGTTGATAACCACTTATACACTTGAGAGAACGATAGGAGAGAGAGAGAGAGAGAGAGAGAGAGAAAGAAAAGAGAACATCATCTCGTGCTAAGAATGATAAGTTGTTTCTTGAACCATGTCTAATCTTCATTGATTCGATCGAGAAACTGTTCTATGCAACAAACTTCGAATTTGTGTATGCGGCTTTGAGTTCAGTCAACGAAGCTTGATCTTATTGAAGTAATTGTAGGAGATCTTTTTTTAAAGACATGGATAGATATAATCCAATCTTTAATTTGGTACAAACTTCATAGAGCAATAAATGATTCAAGAATAAAATATACAATCTCGAGTGCAGAATGCAGAATATCTATACAGCTGTTTTCCTGTTTAATTAACGACAATGATGAGGCGCAGATTACAAGCAAGAGTCTTTGATAAATTCCTCTATAATCGTCGTCTTTTACAAATATGAGAAAATGATTCTTTGAGAGTTTTTCTATAAGAACTTGAAGGAACAAGGATTATAGCAAAGGTAAACATCGATGGTAGAAATGAAATAAAATAAGCGGAAAGATACAACCATGAATAGCGAAATACGTCGACACATCCAGATAATAAAGAAATGGCCAAGTGTGGAACCGAAAGAAGAAGTAGAATGATAGGACTGATGACAAGTTGTTTGTGATCATTTCATTGTTCTCGAATGTGCTGTGTGAAACTCTGTCGAGTTTGAGCTTCTGCTCGTCGTCGAGCACTTCCGATGAAGATCACTAGTGTAGAAAAAAGATTTCTAATGAACGGAGCAAGAAGATGAATAAACAGAATACTTGTGTTATAATCTTGAATTGGCCAAGGATACGAAGTTATACACCAGGTATAACTGTCCACCACAATTTCTTCTTTTGTCTGTTCCTTCGTCAATTGTTTGGTGTTTCTTTGTGTTATGTCTGAATACTATATGGTATAGCGGTTCATGAGCGATCGAGCTCAAAATCAGAACTGGAAGGACGAATATGATCCATCGAACAAAACGTCTACTTTTTTCTTTATCGAAACTCATACCTTTATAGACATTCATTGCCCGTAGGGGTGTCAGTGTTCCCCGTTCCCTATAGTCCCATTCCTGGAAATAGAATGGATTTGATCATTCATCCTACAGTATTTTTTACGCATAGCTATACTTTTGACACGCAATTGTACACAGCACTAATTAAAAAACGTTGTTCGTTCCCCGTTCGGGAACGAGAACGCGAGCTGCGTTCGCATTCTTTAGAATGGAATGCCAAAGTGACACCCCCGGTCAGAACTTACAGAAAGTAGTCAAACATATTATAAAGAATGTACCGGTTCACTTTATTACTATGAAAGTATACGACTAATTGTACTGACCAATACATTCTGCGCTGTTTCGATTTATGAGAATTCCAATGAAGACGAATACATTTATATTAATCAATTCGATCCGTTGAATCCAAAAAATAACCTAGTTGTATTAAATCGTCAAAGATGTAGCTCTGGTCACATCAAATTTACGATTAATCTTCAGGTTGATATCACATACATTTTAGTTCTGACTACACCTAAATCACTAACGACAACGAACTTCCGAATCCAAATTATCAGTTCAACCAACATCACTCTTGACCATTTCAGTGAGTGTTCGCCACAGTTCATAGATGATTTAATGCAAAGTCGTACTCATAAAAGACGGCGCAGTTACCACGCATATTCAGCGAAAGTACTATTGTTTGTTTGTTGCTTTGTTTAGTTGACAACTCCACGTATTGTCATGTTGGTGGTTCGTGTAATACTCAAGTGANATCGCGTCAGTTTGTTACGTTTTTTGTTTGCCAGTGATTTTGATACATTCTACTAATGTGCCGAAGAAAATATCCCATTCTGAATTTGTAATGGAAATTGTTCGACATTCCGAAGCATCGTGCAGAATGAATATTAATTCTCTAATTCAATATCGCATCAAAATATTTGGTTTTCCAGTAAATTCTTTTTGGATCAAATGCACAATATGGTTGCCAGTACTAAATTAAGTATATAATCGATTTCGTCCAGGGTTCATCGACTCCACACAATACCAAGTAATCAGTAGCACTATGACTGTTCGAGATTATACTATTCGGAACAAGCAATGCAAAAATTGAATGTAAATATAAACCCGTTTTAGTCGCTGACAAACAAAACTGATTTGTCATTTTTTTAAAATAGTTTGCAAACTATAACTTCCAGGTAAAGAGAAAGCATATTCATGATTAGATATGTAAATCATGTAATACGATGACGGTATTCTTTAAATATTATATTTTCATCACCCTTTTACTCATAAAACTCAGTGATGACCAAAGGGAATATTTATTCGTATCAATCATTTTTAATTCATTGAAACGCTTGTAGATTACCGGTAATAAAAAGCAAACATATGCACACATTCATTTTTTTTCTTCGTGCATTTCATTGAATATGCTGGTAACTTATAATTTAACCGTGCCTGTTGTTTTTCTGCTGACTCTGATCTATGGAATGTCAGGTAACGATATCTGTCTCTTTAACGAGTTCGTTCCCCTCCCCATTTTCTATGGAGTTTATTCGTTTGCATGTGCAATTCTTAATGATCAGTGATTAAACTTTTGGGAATGCGTTTAGCAGGCGGTGTATTTTTTGTCTTTTCGCTGTAGCTCTCTCATTCGATCAGCCAAATCTATGTCCGACAGCAAAGTGGAATCAAGACGCGTCCCCTTTTGCAGATGTATATGACGTCGGAACCGAACGTGTACTTATGTTCATTGATGCAAATAACACAATTTATGCTACTTCAGACAAGAAAGCTCAAATTATAGTCTGGTTTGAGAATGTCATGAATCGTATAACGATTAATTATGAAAATTTTCGGATGGCGTATTCTTAGTGGCGTAGCCAGGATTTCGCCGGCGGTTGAGTGGTGCCCAACCTAGTCCACCCTTGGCTACGCCACTACTCACGATTTACTATTCAATTTGTATGAAACTGTGAAGTCTTGAACGATTTCGATCAAAAATTGAAAACAACGCAAGGCTGGCTGTAGGATTAATCATTTGAACCTCACGTTTTTGTTTGCACATGGTCGATATAATACAGTAACTTCATGAGAAAAAGTATCAATTGACTCGATAAACATCTGTGGTAAAGGGACAATGTCTTTAGCTTCCATCGATCACATACAAAAAAAAGGATAGATATTGTGGCAATCGGCAAGTTTCATAGGAGTATATTAAAACACACATTTTGATCACCTTATAGCATCAAAGCATTAGCAGATGGTGGGAACGTCTGATAGAAAGAATTATATTTTTTCTCATCGGTTTTATGATTTTCAGCAACAAATTGTCATTCTAGTTTGATAGACGATTCACAATATGCGGCATGGTCAAACGAAGCTAATTTGCGTTCACCACCTGCACTTCACTAACTGATTGTCGAATCATACAAAAGCATTTTTATCCTCATGAGTTTGTTTTGATGACTTTTGGACAATAAATGCTTCGAACTTATTGGGTATCATTTAAATCAAAAACTTGTTCGAATAGCTCATATTCGCCTTATCCTCAAATCGAAAGAGCTAAATCAACGATTGCTATCATTCTTATGAAAACTTCGTCAAACCCACGTTCTTTTGAGCTTTTTCATACATCATTCAAATCTGATTGTGCGTCAAAAGATACACAATCAATGCATTGATCACCTCACAAGCTTTCTTCGTGATAGATTTATTGAAAAATCTAGATTAGTTTTTCAGAACAGAAATTCTTCCTATTAAGTAGGATGTGAATATGTTGCACTGTGTTTCGGATCGTTCTTATTTCGACAGTCATTACCAAATTTGCAAGGAATCACTGCTCTTGGCCGGGTGCTAGCAATGACAGGTGCCAAGGGTTTATTTTCTAAACGTAGATTCAAAATATAATATTTTTAAACGTTGAAAACAAGAGATCATCTTCAAATAAAACTTACTTTTGAATGAAGGTATTTCTTCTCCATGAAAATATTTTAGACAGTGCTCATCCGATTTCTGATGGTAGCAAAGTTCTTGATATTGACATGGCATAAGAAAATCTGGTAAACCTCTATGACGATATTGTGCACGATGTACTGGATCGGCTTTTTTCCTACAGTCTCTGTCATCTGTACATCGTGGAACCTTGTGATGCTCATGAACAAGGTGTGGTTCATCTGCCTGTTTTCGACACTGATCGTTGAAACGACATATGTGAGAAAATTCATCGGTATGTGCCCTAACATTTTGATTGAGACAGTAGATAGAATCACGACAA